CAGGTGGTAGGGTGTGAGGGTTGAGACTTAGAGGATTGAGGAGTGAGGAGGGAACTCGGGAACCTAAAGGCTAAATCGAATAAGAGACTGGGGATTGGGATTCGAAAATCGTGGGATATAATTGGCATTTTATTTTTTGTTTTTTATTTAAAATATTAAAAAAATATTAACCCACGAACCGCTGCACGGGTCCAATGATTTAGCGGTCTGATCGCCCGGGTCAGCGGTTTTTTTGACTTTTCAATGTTTTTTCTAATTTTCCGGTTTCTAGTAAAACCGGACCCAGATGACTGACCGATTATCGGTTTTTCCGGTCTGATTCGGTTTTGAAAACCATGGCTTCACATGTTGGGCCCACCACTATTAGGATGAATTTAATTGTTTACTAGTGTTTTTAGCGGGCTTATTAATTGGTTTAGTTGTAACTTGTAACAGTGGGGAAAAGTCTTTTAACATCAGCTTTTGATATACAAAATTTGTACCGCCAATGAATGCAAATGAGAGAAAAAAAAAAAAAACAAATACAAATCTTGTATTAAATTAAAGTACAAATCATAAAAGGGATGCAAAACTGAACCTTAAGCTGAAAGCTTAAGGCTGTATTTGGCTGCAATGTAGATAAATTTGTACTGATGCAAAACCATGACAGTGCAAATGATTTGAATGTAATTCTGACCTATTTTTGTTTTAAATATTAGTTTAGTTTGTTTGACTGCAGTACAAACAAACTAAGTTAAGACATGAAGCAGAATAAAGTAAAATCCAAAACAAAATTAAAAAAGAAATTATATTTTATTTTCATTTACACTCCCTTGCATTTGTACTAATGGTTCAATATGGAAAGAGTACAAATACAAATATGTACAGTGCAAATGCATATAAAATAATACAAAATATAAGGTTTTACACTCTCTATGAATGTCAATTTTATGGGTTTGGATCTAACGAAGCATTAATTTGTAATAAATTGCCCTACCAAGACAACTGACCTCCAAATCGGTTGGGTCTATGTAAACAAATCACATGATGTAATACAATCGTGTACACAATTACAAATAGAAGTTTGTTACAATTAGGCCTCCCTGCAATTTGTAATCTATTTTAGCCTTTTAGGTGCTTTTTAAGTTTTGGTCATTTGAATGATGTGAGGTATTTCTGTTAACACCTCTGTTCAAGGTAACAGTGGGAGGACCCACATTCAGCCTCGATCGTAGTAAAGCAAAATGAGAAAACAATAAGAGACCTTTCATGAACCAGAGGTTATCATGGACTGAACTGGGCTTAACACCTACTCTGAGCCCAAGCCCAACCAGGCCCACATCCAGGCCTATATGGGCCCAGGCCTAACACCTAGGTTACAACTTACAAAAAACTGTATGTTACCCAATAAATCTAAAACCAACCTCCTAGTATTCACTTGAATTCATGTGGCATTTTAATCTAAAACCAGCAGTGATATTTTGTATTTGTGCCTCTATAAAAATACCAAAATTTTTATTATTTTTTTGGGACCTAAAGTGATTAAAATATTTCCAGTTTACTTTAGAGTCTAGACTACAAGCAATTATTTCACTTAACTTAATTGAGGTTATTTTGATCAGTTCACGTCTACAAAACAAAGAGGACAATACAGGATGAATGCAAAAATTCCAAAATCTAAATGGGTCCAAATTATGAAAATAATTTATCTCTTATCATTGGAGATAGGATTTGTTTGGATTGCTTGTTTGAATGAAAGAATATAAATTCATTGAAATAAATCCTATATTATATTCTACGATATGTTGGAATGAAAGAATTTAATTTCAATGAAATAAATCCGAAATTATCATCCATGATATTTTTGAATGAATGAATATAAATTCATAATTGGCATTTTCGCGATGGCCCATTTATAAAAATCCCTTTCAACGTCTTTATAAAATTCCCTTTCATTAACTATGGACAAGTTGAAATTATCCTATAGTGCAAGCTCTTTTGTACCCCCCACACACCCAAAAAAAAAAAATGGTGGAATGGACTCAGACTTGAATCCACATTTTCACACTTTGTCAGTAGTGTTTTCAAAATCGGACTGGACCAGAAAAACCGAGAACTGGTGGTCATCTGACCTGTTCTGTTTCACCCTACAACCTTTTTTTGGCCAAAAACAATTGATTTGGTCAACAAACAGCTGACCCGGGCAGTTGAACCATCGAACTGTCGACCCAGGAATGATTTTTTGCCTTTTTTGTTAGAACGGGCCATCCATTCAAACCGGACAGTCAGACCATTCGACCCGGCTGTCCAGTCTGGTTTTAAAAACCTTGCTTGTCATCCTAACATTTTATCATCACACCAATCTATGACCCATTTCACCAAAAAAAATCAATGAATGACCCGTCTCAAAACATATTTTGTATCCCTTAATATCAATAATTTCTATCTTGTGAGTGGATTATTGAAATTAGTATCGTATGGTAGTGAGGGGAAAAATTAATCGAGTTGTTTTCAAACAGAATTTACTACGGATTTTCCATGGGATATGAAAGTTAAGCATGATAAATAATTACAGTATTTGTGTCTAGAATTCCATGGTAACCAAACCAAGAGATTCTTCTCATTCTTTCAGTCTGACCATAAAGCAATACACTATTGATAATGACTCCACCTACTCTGTCTAACATTAGATGGAGAATGACTTTGTATGGAAGGAGAAAGCTCAGCAATGAAACTCATAATTATCCAAGTAGCTACCTTAATCTTAATTCATAAATATCACACAAATTATTTCTCTACAACTGCCTATGTTTGTGATGAAACACTTTTGTATGAATTCACAACTCACTCTAACTATTTGATATATTGTAATATTGTTGAGAAAAACATATGGAAAATCAGAATGAATCCTATCTCTGATTTATCAACTTCAGTTGTTCATTGGCTAGAAAATTGCTGAATGGTGATCAACATGCAATACGCTTAGTTTAAGTATGATTTGATAAGATTAAAGATTGATTGAAGTAACTAATTACCCGAATAGATGCAAGACATTATCAAAGCTAAGCCTTTCAGTCTTTTTAAGTTTCAATACATGATCTACGAATGAACTTACAAGTATGATGTACATTTTCATATGTTGATCCGAAACAAATCTTATGGAACTTTTAAACAAATTATTGACTAACAAAATTTAAATCGGCGTGTCAGATTATTGGTGAAGCCGTGCATAAGGCTAGCCATGAGGTGGATTGGATAGCATTCAGTCTATGTTCCCTCCCTTTGCTGAATGTCTTCGGTTGAAGCATATATCTTGGCAAGCTAATTTGCCTACTCTACTAGTCTGCTGAAGAAAGCAAGAGAGAGAGGGAGAGAGGACACCCTGCTTCTGAAACATGGTTAACACATGATAAGAGTAATGGGTGCAGCACAAGAAGAGAAACAGGGAGGGATTCCTTGCCAAAACAGGCTGAGCAAAAGTAGGGCCTTGATGACAATTACAGACTGAGCCTCCTTGTGAAAACTGAAAACTAGTACATTGCAAGGACCCCCCCTCGTGTACCAAAACAAAAAAGGACCACTTACCAGAATTTCAGACATCTCTTCTCCTTGTTATTATCCTTTGTTTTTCTGGCTCTTACTTGATTGTGCATTCTAGTTGTACAACCCACTACCACTACCAGCCTTTGCCCTTTGGCCTTGGCCTTCCCATCTTTACAACTTGACTCGACTGGCCCACATCTCTATAAAGAAAATTGAAAAATAAATCCAAAGAGAGATGAAAGTTTGCACATCGAGAGGAAAAAGAATGGAAGGAATTTGAGAGGATCACATGAGGAATCGACCGACATCATAGGGGCCCAACTGTATATTTTTAATCAAAATTAAACTAATCTTCACTCTTCAGGGTGGTTTTGTCAACTTGCAGCCAACCGATAACGAAACCGACACCCATCAATTATTGTGCCCGAGAGAGAGCAACTTACAGAAGTCAGACAAAGAAACCTGACTCGTTAACATGTCTAATAACAAGGAAAAATCAAATCAGTGATCAGGATTTGTTGTTTGATTAAAAAAACCCAGAAACCTTAACAAAGTCTTAAATAGCAACTAACCAACAAAAACCTCCAAAGTCCAGTCCCCAGACCAACCGACTTGGTATCCTCGTCGCCTAACAATAAACATACGAGTCATCTACGAAAAATATAGACAACGACAGGGATCCAATGGTGGTATCGGGATGTCAGCTTTGAAAAACATAAATTTAATCACAGCCCAGGATACAGGCTAAGAAATCCTAATTCTCCCAGCCCATCGCTTTTTAACCGTCAAAATAAGGAATTCATACCAACAGAATTTGGAGTAAGATGAGTTCAAAGGAAAAAAATAAAGTACTGATTTTAAAGTACAACAATCACATGGGCGATTACTTATTTACTTGGATCCCAAAATGGCAACAATTGAAATGGATGGATGATGGATAGATGCAGGAATGGAGAGAAAAGAGGTCAGATAGAGAAGTCTGAACCAACTTTAAATGCAGGCAACCTAAAAAGGAGGGCATGTCTTATAAATGCATAGAGAAAAAGAAGCAAAAAAATAAAAAGGTGAACAAGATAGAGATGGATGGATAGAGACTGGAACTGACAGAATTATGGAGAAACCTGGACAGTAAGGTGAAAAGGATGGCTTGAAACTTGAAGGCAAAACAAAGCTGCAGGGGCCTCTCATTTACAATTGACAGGAAAGAGTTGTACCTCATTAATAACAGAAAGGGACCCGTCACATGGCATCTGGACTTCGACGATACTTCCAAGCAATTTATCTAACAAAAGATTCAGTATCTACACTGCTCAATCTCAGTCAAACCTGATGTATTCGGACAAAAATGGAAGAACTCAGGTAGCCAGATTCAAAGATTTGCGGGGCAAATGACTGCAATGTATCTGTAAGAAATCCATGGTGATAGAAATTTAACTTACAAGTTCTAGAATTAACTATAAGGAGAAAACAAACCCAAATGACCCAACAAAACATTTTCTGCATCCTCCTGTTCCATTCCATCCAAACTTAGTCCACCATGATATAAAGACAAATGTAAGTCAAGTTCATAAGCATCAGTATCCCACCAGATACTGGTTGAATGTATTTCGATGTTATATATATGGAGACAGGAGTATAAGATTATAATTACAGTAAGTAGCTTATCTCGGGCTCCTAACCCACCCTAAGTGAAGGGTAGGTGCACTAACAGTACATACGGGAGAACAAAGGGGCTTTAATTGTAAAATCTCATATTTAAACCTTCGTCAATCTTCTATTTCCCCTCCTTTTTTGTAAGTTTTCCTTTAGTAGTCAAGAGACCCCACAGATGTGATCCCAGTGCTCAGATTTCTTGAGTCCTGTCGGTTCACGTAGTCATCGCAGCTGTTACTGGAGAGCCTCTGGATAGGGACAGAGTTAAGAAGCTCCACACCTTGTTTGCCCATCTGCTGCACTTCTTGAGGCGAGAGTATCTTGATACACCACACACTGTTTACAAACTCTCTGCAATAAAGGTAAACATAAACCCAGGCAGAGTTAACAAGAATGCCACAGTAACTATCGTACAGCAGACGATAAACAGTACATCAAACTAGAACATAACAGATGATCATAGGTCAATTGTACATATTTTATGTCAATTTATCAACACCCAATGGCAAAGTTAAATTTAACTGACACAAATCATTAAATCAAACAAACACCCCCCCATGTAGTTTCAAAATGTTCTCATTGAAATGTTAGCAGTTAACCAGTTTCAACTAGATGAACATTATCCGAATAGCAGAAGGAACATTAATCATCACGGTTTAAGGGTGACAAAAACATTTAAAACGGACCAGTATCAAAAATTCAAAATTATAGACATAGACGAGTTCCCCATGAACTCCAGCAGAGAAATTATGCATGTAAAATAGATGTATAAAACTGATTGCCTGCATATTGAACAAAATGGAAACGTAAATGCAACAGTTACTGGTTGTCTGCATATTGAACATCTAATGCCATGACCATCATGCACGCAAAGTACTAGAAATCAGAGCCATTAGGAAATAAGCTTTACAGCTTGAAATATATGAAAAATTCAATTAGTAAACAAGCTGAACTGTTAAGAGCATATATAGCCTCAACAATTACAACTCAGTATAAAAGCAATAGCAAGTGGAGCTGTGAAAGGTTGACACTTACTGCCAGGGGTCATCGCCGAGAAGAAGAACATCGTTCTCCCGGTCGACGAATACAAGCTGCCAGCCTGATCTCAGAGGGTCCTCCAATTGGCCTTCAAGGCCAAACATACGTGCGAGCTCACTGCGCAGCTCATGGTAGCTGCTGAACCTAGTAATATCCAGTGACCTCCCAAAGGACCCTGATTTATAAACCTGCCAGGAATTACAGCATCCAGATCAAATTACCAAGGAATAAATTCAAATACTAGACATCATAAGCAAAAGAAAGAAAGCATGTTATATACACACTTAGATAAGTTGAAGTATAACTATAACCACCACCATCACCATACCCCCGAAAAAGGTAATAAGAAAAGGTCACAACTAAACACTGCACAAGAAGAAAGGTCACAACTAAAAACCAAAATCCTAGTTAGTAGTTCAAGTCACTTGTCCAATATGGCCACAATCTAATTGAACTGAATGACATCCAGACATTTAAGACCTCCACCCTGCCTGTGCCATAAACAATGCAAAAGCCGTGAGATTGGAACTAGAGATCAAACAGCTAAGTCATTGATCCAATATAACTCAAGTCAGGTTTGCATGGCCAAATCTAACCTAACTCAATGAAGCCCAGCTCTTACTGTTTCAACGTATAAAAGAAGAAATATTTCACATCAGTCAACAAGAATGCTCATGGAATTAGAATATATTGATGATATATCTAGCTTACCTTCACAAAGGTTCTTGTTGGTGGATTCACTTGGCCCACGTTCTCTGGTGACTGCAGAAAAGTTGATTCATCCAAGCAACTGGAAGTTGTGACAACCGGATTAAGTGGGAATTCAGTGCCTGTTGCACTGACAAAATTAGAAGCAAAAGGCATGGTTGCCGAATCGCCCTCACTGCCAACACCTCTGAGGCCTGACATCCCATTCTGCATTAGAAGTGATGAGGAATCTATATTAACACCAAACAGAAGATGGCTTTGTGGATCCGTGCTACCTTCTTGATCTACTGAGCATTCTCTACCAGGGAATGGTGGCAAAGAGATAGAATGCTGAGAAAGATTTGTCTGTGCTGCTGCCATCTGTTCCACCTGTGGAAGGGCACACTGGGTTCCTCCAGAAGGGAGTAGAGGTTCAACTGCGGCTCGCTTGGGAAACCAGGTGGTAGAAGGGATGAGAGGAGTGGTCCTAGGCAAGTTAAGAAGGTGGGATGTTTCATCGTGGGAAAACGAACCCAAAAGACCATGAAGGGGAGAAACAGCAGAAGTGGTTACAGGGTGGCTATTGGAGCCTACAAAATTTGGCTGCTCACAGAATGAAGATATACCCTGTAAGGATGGAGGTTGGGACTGAGAGACGGAAGCAAGGTGTGACATGGCAGACATAACATTTGGGATCTGTTGTTGATCAGACAACTGTTGTTGCTGTTGCTGTTGCTGTTGCTGTTGCTGTTGCTGTTGCTGTTGCTGTTGCTGTTGCTGTTGCTGTTGCTGCTGTTGTTGTTGCTGCTGTTGCGGCTGCCGTTGTGGTTGCTGCTGTTGGTCATTAAATGAGTGGCGTTGTTGTAACTGTTGTTGAAGAAGATAAGCCTGAGAATGGGGCTGGTTTTCTTGAACATTTTGTAAAAAGGGAAGTTGGGGTTGAGACTGCTGCAACATTTGCCTTGGCATTAGAGAAGTAGCTCTGTTATTGACATTCTGAGATTGTTGGAATTGCAGAAGAGATGGGGAGGCCTGTTTAGAAGGATCCAAGGTCCTCATTTCCTGAAGGGCAGCAGTAGCCATTGCCTGGTATATATCAGGTTGCAGACCTAGAATAGAAGCATCCAGCCTTGGCTGCACCCAGGGTGTAACCCCAATTCCCTGGAAATTTAGGGATTGAATACCCCTGTCTCCACCATCTCCACGGAGCCACATGAGTGGAGAATTAATACCCATATCATCATCCTTGATTCCTGTTTGGATCAAAAGAGATATTGCATAGTAAGATTTAAATTTATAGCCAAGAAAGGAAATTGAAAATATTATGCCTTTTTTCCAGCCTTTTTCTTATGAATAACTTTTTGCAAGCCTTAAAAGCAGTAAAAGAGCATACCATGAAGTGAGGGTAGGCCAGGTGGCCATGGTCGCTTAAGTCGGAGTGGGAATGGAGATGGATACATAGGGAATGTTGTTAAAGGTTCTATCTCCCAAAGTGACACTCTAGGCTGTCTTTCTCCTGCAGTGGACTCATCCCAGCCAACCTAGATCAACAGAAGCAGAGCTCACAAGGATAAGTGACCCTGAAAGATTCCTAAAATCCCCCATCAAACATAAAATGTCATAAATCAAATCACTAAGATCACAAAAACCTTCACAGAGCGCCAATGTGAGTTTGGCCAACGAACAGGATCCAAGTCACTGATGCCTGTAATTGTACCCATGTACCTAAAGAAAAATTATAATTACACAATTAGAAAGTAACTATTTATGCATCCAATGGATGCAAAAGAAGGGAATATTAATGTGGGAATTGGAAGAATTTAAGTAACATCTCTAATTTTTAGAATGTAACAAAAGCTCACAAACATAAAACCACATAGAACAGGAGTCCTAACTACCATATTCACAGCTTTGGCCAATAAGTTGGCACATAAGGTTGCACTCCTCAAAGCTTATTTCTCAATAAATAAATAAATGATTAGTTACAGCAAAAACTTGACCATAATTATCAAGGCATCTAGGTGATTCTGGGTGACAGTGGTGTGCCTAGTCACCCAGACAATAAGAATTTTATAAAATAAAAAACTAAATTTTGGTTGGTTTCCCTAGTTTTATATACCAATCAGCATACATATTAATTGGAAAATAGCATTTCTCTTTATTAAGAACATTACAATTTCCTATCAAAACATGACAAATCAACATATCTAAAAGGCAATAGCATTTTAAATATATTAATTTCAATATTTTCAAAAATAATACTAATATAATATGGATTTAATAGAGCAATTTAAAATCGAATTAGCAACTGAAGAAAGCTATTATTTCTTTTTGATAAAAATTCAAGATAGAAAGTATAAGAGAAAAAGACAAGGATGAACCAACTATTCTATTGAACGTAAAAGAGAAAAAAATAAAAGAAAAAGAAACCTCTTTATCCTTCTCTTCTTTCTTTCTCTTCCCAAAATCCTTGAATCTTTTAAATTTCAATAGTAATATAAGTTATTTATGTAGTATATAATAAAATGTATAAATACAAATATTATTAAGATGTAGCCTATAGTAATAATATTATAATAAGATGCCTGTCTTATGATTTTTGTCACCTAGGTGGATGACACAAGGCATTGATAAGGTGCCCAACCAAGGGAAACTAATCGCCTAGGTGATACCTTGACATTTAGAACCTGACTCACTTTACATTCATAAGCATTTTTCAACATCATAGATACAAACATTATTTTTGTGGTTTTGCCCAGGACATTTCATAGAGCACCCTCAGATGATGTCCAAATTCAAATACCCGCATCATCTTCCTCTTTATGCATACAGGACATGGTAGACCAAAGAGCATTATCAAGCTCCCCATGGAAAAGGGAAATAAGAATAAAATAAAATAAATGTTAAACGCGTAGAGAATAAAAAGGACAAAGATAAGAAGGTAAATTAAGAATGAGACCAACCGTCGGACACTTGATTCTTCAGTCTCAAATAGCATCCTGAAGCGCATACCAACAGAAACACGTGTGTGATAGACTGCTTTGACATATTTGGAAAGAGGTATAACAAATTCTGATGGGCTTGCCCTGAAAGCAAGGAAAGGGACAATTGAACAAACAAAAAAAAATGAAACTTACAATTTTTCCAAACCAGAAGTCACTCTACCTTGGGTTATAAAATATAGTGAAACGACTGTTTGTTGCAGCTGCATGAGCTGCTGCTGCAAGGAGCCCTATGTGCATGCTGTCACTTGATAGAACTGATGAAGGCATCACAGTTTGTGGCCGATTGGCCCGCCGAATTCCAAGTAGTAGCTGGTTCTTTTCGTTCCTTGAAGGAAACATACATTAGTGTCAGCAGTTAGTAATACCATAGATCTATGATCAATAACTGATGTAGAGATTCAAGATAAGCGAAGTCAAAGTGGGAAGGTGATGATAGAACACTTTTTTTGACAATCCATAGATATCAAGAGATTGGAGAACTATCCAATCAGGTAAGTTTTTCATAGTTTTCAAAGCGCCAAGGCAAGGCTAGGCAAGAGGGTGGCGCCTTG